GTTTGGTTTTGAGGAGACACAAATGGGTGTCTACAATATGAAATCTGAAAATTTATACTAGAGGTTGTAATTTGAAGTTCAAAGTTTTTTAATCATAAAATACCCACAATAATTATTTTATAGGCTTAGAAACATAAAAACATGAAATTAACATATCTAGCTCATAAAAATCAAAACTTTAATAATCTGAAAATTTATATATAATCAAAATAATCATACTTTGATGTAATTTAAACATAGAATAATTAGATAACTTGATTAGTATGTTATCAAGCCCTAAAACATGAAAAATCATGTTTTAAACCCTAAATTTTACAACATATATAATCTAAAACTTTATATAATAATTTAAACATGCTAAACTCATAAATTTATAATCTTTTATAATTTAACATACTATCAAACCATAATAACAATAATTTAGAATTGAAATCAAATAAAAATTGATGCTTTAAATAAAAAATAACAAAATAAGAGAAGTGAGAAAAAGGGAGGAAGAGATGCGGCTACTACACAAAGGGGCTGCTTGTGGCCGGAGGTGCGGCAGGTGGCGCGTCGGTGGGGGCAGCGGCGGTGCAGGGAGGCATCGGGCAGCTTGAGGTTTTTTTTTTTTTTTTTTTTTTTTTTTTTTTTTTTGTTTCACGTAGAAGAGGAGAAAAAGAGGTGAGGGGTTTTTTTTTTTTTTTAACGTGAAAGAGAGAAAGAGAGGTGAGGGTTTTTGTATTTTATTGAGGTTTTATTCTCCTAGTTTTATTAGGAATGGGTTCTGAGTAATTTGGGTTTGGGTAGGAATTAAGTAATTGGGCCACTAAGTTAAGAAAAGGGCTATAATTTTAATAAAAACTTAGTAGTTTTAATTTACTAATAAAGAGAATTGTATTACTTTTACATTAAATAATTCGTACTTATAAAACTGAAATTAAAATATTGTATAAATAATAAATAATTATATTAGAAAAATATGGGGGGATTAAAATCTACCCCTCTTAAAAGAAGTTTCGCCCTCGAAACTTAACCCAATAATCATAATTTCTCCAAAACTGTTCAAACTTTTATGTTTTGTATTGTTGTAAATTGCTTGCTCCTTAACAAGTGTACTCAACAAACTGAACTTTGTACTCAATGAACTCATACTTGGCCAGAGTTTACATACTTTTATTGTATGTAAACGCAACAATAATGCATAATGCATAATGATATTAAAAAACATGAAAAATCAAGCAATAAATGGGATAGTTGAGGTAAAGGCGCAAAATTACATCGCATTCTACCCCCCTCAAAAGAAAAGAGTTACGCCCTCGTAACTCACCTCGTCAAACAACTCCGGGTACTTGTTTCTCATCTCTTCCTCGGCCTCCCAAGTAGCCTCTTTGTACTCCTGGTTCAACCAAAGGACTTTCACTATCTTCACATCTTTGGTTCTAGTACTACGCACCTTGTGATCTAGTATCTTGACCGGTCTTTCTTCATAAGTTAGAGACTCATCTAGTTGAATAGTCTCCGGCTGCAAAACATGGGTTTCACTAGGCACATACTTCTTTAATTGGAAAATGTGGAACACATCATGCATTTTCTCGAACTCCATTGGCAAAGCCAATTTGTAAGCCACTTTCCCCACACGTTGGAGAATTTCATACGGACCCACATATTTTACACAAAGCTTCCCTTTCTTGCCGAGTGTAGACACCCATTTGTGTCTCCCCAAAACCAAACCCGGTGATGAGTACCTTTCGCGTCGAATCATAATCGAATGAAGTGAAAGTGTGGAAAGTCTAGTGTTGCGGAAAGTTTTAATTTCTTTTCTCTTCTCTCTGTTTTTGAAAACTTATTTTAAGAAAACAGCCAATTTAGTTTGGTTGGTCCATGATATGGGTCCAATAGTAGTGTAGTTGGATGGGGCTTGCGAAGACCTTTCCAACGATATATTATAAGCCCAATTCTGATGAATATTGAGGAAGTTATGGCCAATTTACTAAACTGGGCCCGGTTTGAGCTTTATGTACGGCCCAATGATCCTCCCAATTCCGATGAATCTTGATGCTTGCATGGTAACTGTTATTGTAGGAGAATTCGATCAAAGGTAGGTGATCCTCCCAATTCCCTTGGAAATCTAAAGCACAAGCTCGTAACATATCTTCCATGGTTTGGTTTGTTTTCTCAGTCTGACCATCTGTTGCAGGATGAAAGGTAGTACTCATCTTCAATGCTGTTCCAAGGTTCTCTTGCACTCTTTGCCAAAACTTTGATAGAAATCTCGAGTCTCTATCTAACACTATTTCCTTGGGAACTCCGTGCAACCGAACTGCATTCTTCACATAGACACTTGCTAGCTGCTTCTTTTTCTAGGTCTCTTTGATAGGAATGAACATCGCTGACTTAGTAAGTCTTTCCACAATCACCCAAATCATGTCATTCCCAGTACGAGTCTTTGGTAAGCCTGTCACAAAGTCCATGGATTTGGAATCCCACTTTCAACCTGGTATTTCTAATGGTTGCACCTTTCCCATGGGTCTTTTGTGGTCTATCTTCACCTTTTGGCACGTCAGACACTTTGATACAAACTCAACAACCTCTCTCTTCATATTCGGCCACCAATAGAACTCTTTCAGATCCTTATACAACTTATCTCCCCTAGGGTGAACTGAATATGGTGTATTATGGCACTCCTCCATGATTTTTCTTTTTATCTCCTCACACATATGTGGTATGCACCATCTCTCCTTGTATCTCAGACTCCCGTCTTCATGAATCTTGAATTCAGTCTCTGCACCACTAGTCATTCGATCTCTGATTTTCTGCAATGACTCATCTTCCAACTGCTTCACCATAATCTCCTCAAATATGGATGGTTGGATTGTCAAGGCACTCAACAACCCCTCTAACTCTCCTTGATTAACAACATTAAGGTTTAATCTTCTCATATCCTCACACAACTCATTGTCCACAATTAAAGCATTGACATCATGGCTTGACCTTCTGCTAAGGGCATCTGCAAAAACATTCGCCTTTCCCTCACGATACTAGATGTGGACATGGTAGTCTGTGAGAAACTCTAGCCATCGACGTTGCCGCATATTCAAGTGATCTTGGGTGAAGATGTACTTTAGACTCTTATGGTCCATGAAGATCTTAAAAGAAACACCATAAAGGTAGTGCCTCCAAATCTTCAAAGCGAACACTACAGCTGCAAGCTCCAATTCATGGGTAGGGTAGTTGACTTAATGTTTCTTCAGTTTCCTCGATGCATACGCAATCACCTTCCCATTCTGCTGTAGGACACATCCCAGACATGCTTCAAGGCATCACTATACACTTCAAATCTTTCTCTCCCACCAGGTAATACCAGCACTGGTGCAGTGGTCAATCGCTCTTTGAGGGTTTGAAAAGATGATTCACAACTCTCGTTCCACTCAAACTTGCTCTGCTTCTTCATAAGGGTAGTCATGGGTCTGGGTATCCTCGAAAAATCCTTAACAAACCTTCTATAATATCCAGCTAATCCCAAGAAACTACGAACATCAGTCACATTCTTAGGTGTAGGCCACTCACTTACCACTTTGATCTTCACAGGATCCACGGATACACCCTCCTTTGAAATGTAATGCCCCAAAAATGTAACTTTCTCCAACCAGAACTCACACTTAGAAAACTTAGCATACAGCTTGTTCTTCCTAAGAGTTTCAAGGGTAGTTCTCAAGTGCTCATCATGTTCTTCCTAAGTTTTCGAATACACCAAAATGTCATCAATGAACACGACTATAAACTTGTCCAAGTACTCATGCAACACTCGGTTCATCAAGTCCATTAATATGGCTGGTGCATTGGTTAACCCAAAAGGCATGACTGTAAACTCGTAATGTCCATACCGAGTTCTAAAGGCTGTTTTTGGAATGTCTTTATTTGTAACCTTTAACTGATGGTACCTCGACCTCAAATCAATTTTCGAAAACACACTTTCCCCCTTCAACTGGTCAAACAAGTCATCTATCCTAGGTAGAGGGTACTTATTCTTCACAGTCACATTATTCAACTCTCTGTAATCAATACATAGCCTCAAACTTCCATCTTTATTTTTCACAAATAAGATAGGTGCTCCCCAAGGTGATGTACTGGGCCTAATGAACCCCTTGTCTAACAACTCCTACAACTGAGCCTTTAGCTCACTCATCTCAACTGGTGCCATTCTATAAGGTGCTTTTGAAATAGGTGCAACTCCTGGAACTAAGTCAATGGTAAACTCAACTTCCCTCTTAGGTGGCATTCCCAAAATCTCTTCTGGAAAGACATCTAAAAACTCTTTCACAATGGGTACATCCTCCATCCTCCTACTCACTCATACTCAGATCTTGAACACAGCAAAAGTACAATGGACATCCCTTATTCACTAGCTTCTTGACCTTCAAAGCAGAAATGATCCCAAAACCCTTAGGCTTCCCTAAACGTCTATAAGACACTGCCTTACCCAAAGGATCACTTAGTTGCACCCTCTGCATCTCACAGTTTATCTTAGCCTTGTATAAACTCAGCCAATCCATCCCCAGAATTACATCTAAGTCCCCTAGGTTAAACTCAATAAGATCCAATGGAAAGATAGCTCCTCCTGTTTTCAAAGGCAAGCCTTTGAATATTTTATTACAATGAACAAGTTTTCCCGTAGGCAGACTGACTGACACATCAACATGACTCGATTCAGTTAAGTATAACTTGAGCACAACAGAAGTAGAAATGAAAGAGTAAGCTGCTCTAGAGTCAAACAGAGTGTTGACAGAGATAGAATGAATAGAAAAGGTACCAGTAACTACATCCGAGGACCTCTCAGCTTCTCCCTTGCTCATCACAGAAAAGCGCCCGGGAGTGTTGTTTCTTGCCTGGTAACCATTGTTGTTGTTGCCTGAATTGTTGTTGTTGCCGTTGCCAGACCTGTTATTGTCGTTGCCAGACCTGTTGTTGTTGTTGCTACCATTCCCAAACTTCCCATGCTGACCATTTCCCTTATTCCCCTAGTTGTTGAAGTTGTTAGGCCTCTGTTGGGTGTTCCCACCATTCCCACCATTTCCCTGTTGTTTCTGCTTGGTGTAACACACATATTCCCTGTGCCCCCTTTTGTTGCAGAACCGACAAGTTACTAAATTCCCATCACAATCTCTCCTAGGGTGGTTTCTCCTACACCTCTTACAGTGGTAGGTCCTCTCTCCATTGTTAGCATTAGAAGAACTGCTAACATTTTGGTTACCCCTATCAAACGAGTTCCCATTCCTAGGCCTCTTAAAGTTACCCTGGTTCTCAGATTTCCCAAAGTCCTTCCTTTTCTCCCCAGCCTTAGCACTCGCACTAGCACTCCTAGTATTCAGATGGTACAGGTGTGCAACTATCTCATAAACCTTGTCAAGGGTTTTAAAAACTTTTCCGGCCAGGTCTTTCTGTAACTCGTCAGTCAATCCATGCTCAAACCTCTGAGCCTTCAGTTCTTCAGTTGGTACAACCTCAGGAGCGAACCTAGAAAGGGCCATAAACTTATTATAATACTCATAGATTGACAAATCTCCCATTGCCAGGCTTATAAACTCTCGAGCCTTCTGTTTCTTCAGGAATGGAGGGTAAAACTTGTCCCTCAAGGAGATCTTAAACACTTACCACCCAAAGTTAGGTTTGGCCCTACCGGTCACAACATTGTCTCTCCACCAGATATCAGCTTTGTCCTTAAGGTACATAGCGGCCTGGTCCACTTTCATACCCTCAGGACAGTTGAGTGCCACGAACAGCTTGTCAAACTCTCGAATCCAGTTTTCTAAGAAAGTAGGGTTAGCACCTCCCCTAAAAACTGGTGGCATAACCTGGGCCAGCTTCTTAAACATCTCATCTTGGGGGTCGAGTTGGTCTCTTCGATTTTGGTTTAGATTTTCAGCCAACAAATGAATAGCATCAGCTAAGGCAGCGTTCTCAGTCATTCTAGCTCTACGCCTGAAATTAAATAAATTTGCACTCCATTTTAAATGAAACTCAAATACTATTCACACATATTCATTGAATCACAATATTACATTTGTCACATAAATTGGTTAAAAAGGGTACTTTGAGATTGCACCCCCTTGTTCCAAGAAAAACCATACAATAAAAACACGATTCATACGCAGGATTAAATGAAGCTAAGAAAATAATTTCCTCATCTCGCGACACTCTTACTAAATTTAATCATAGACAATGAAATTCTTCCCAAAATTATATTATCACAAAAATTAAACTTGCTCTTGCTCTTGCTCACAAATAAAAGTAAAATGAAGCTCTTAAACTAAAATATCAACTTCTTATAATAACTTATATAAAGGTATCAATCCCAAATAATAACACTGTAGCACTAGCTACTTATTAAAATTAATCATCCAAATCATACTATAATGAGGTTCTAATAACCATTGTCAATGGAAAAATGCCTTATTCATGCTAACTCCACCCTAACAAAAATAACCCTTAAGGTATCACATTGCTGTTCTTATCTTTCTTCTCATTATAATTATTAACATCAAAATCAGGATCATTTTCATCATCTGAGTCTTCAATAATTATTGCCTTGTAGAGCGGATTCGGATTCCTAGTAGCTCTCTTCCCAGCATTTGGATATTCAGGTGGTGGTTATATCCATTCAAGCTCATCCTCATCTGGAAATTCAATAAGAGAATACTCATGGAACATTCTTTGGTAGGTTTTAATCTTATGCTTTTTATTCTTTGCTGTCTTAAACTCATGTATGTACTGGTAGTCTTCCTCATCAGGATTAGTTGGCGTAATAGTCCTTTCAAACCTCTCTAGAGTATCTTCAGTTCGAGTATCATTCTCATCCTTAGACACAAAAATGGGGTTGTTCCTAGTACCATTATTCATGCTTTCAGACATGATTACTGAGTCACTCATCCCTTTTCTACGTGAACGCAACGCAACGAACATTCAAAAAGCATAACGCAAGCACATCACAAAATAAATCAATTAGAACATAATTACAACATGTTAAATAAATAAGAAAATAACACTTCATGTGATAATTAAATGCAAAGATATGTATGAAATATGCATGCATTCCCTTCTTAAGTCTACCCAAAGCTCACCAATTAGACAAAATAAACTTCAAAATTGTTTTAAATAAAATGGTTTAAAACATACTTAGTTTCAAATAAAAAAATTTTTGTCTTTAAAATTCAAAATTTCAACCATTGAATAGGCGCCTAAGTCATACTAAGCTAATTGGCTTTAGTGATAATTAAATCTAACCTAAGCTCCCAGATACCACTTTGTAACACCCCAATAATTCTCTCTTAAAAACCTGTGAATAACCTGAACGATTCCAAGAGAAAAACTGGCGTGCTACCTCCACGTGTTCAAACGTTAAGGCTTTTTCAGAAAATAGCAGCGGAAAAACTAAAACAAATATATATATATATATGTATATATATATATATATAAGTTTCAAAACCAATAACCAAAACCAAATTAAATCTTACAACTTGGAACCCTTAAGGCCCTTATTCAAAACTTAAACCAATAAAAATAGTATGAAAGTAAAGTTGAGTTCAAATAACTTTAAATGTAAATAGTAATAAAAAAGAAATAAGAAAAGTAACCAACTCTCCACTCAAGATCCCACCACCTAGAAACAAATGTTGCATGTGTAAGAACCTGTGGTTAATCTGCTCCCCAATATTACAAGTGTAAAAATTGGATCGTCACAGGGTCATTGAAAGGCGAAGGCCATGACTAAAGAAAGACACACACAAAAGTATGCAGTCAGCAAAGCTGAGTACATACAAAGTGCGAAATAAATTAAGAAATACCTAACATGCTACTAATAATCAAGCATAAGCATCATTAAATTAGAGACTCAACACATGACTCAACCATCAAATTTATTAAGACTTCACTAGTTAATATTAACTAACATCAATAAAAGAAAAACCCCATGACTCCTTTTGGAAACATCAATAAACATCCAACGACCACGGGCGCGACTCCGTGACCGTAGTTAGTATGAGATCTCACCTAACTCCTAGTTTTAAAAAAAATATTTGAAATAGGAGACTCGTAGATCAGACGACCTCGATAAAAGTACACGGCTAATACCCCATGTACCCCAACCCCTGATTGTCATTACTCAGATGTGCACCAATCCAGAGTTTTATTGCTCATCCATCTTGCACTTTACGTAATTTACAGGTTTAGACTTGGTGATGACTCATATGCATTACAATACAAACATTCCAAACACAATTCAATCAAACAAGGCAAATTTCCAATTTAAATTCTTGATTTATTAGTGACAAACAACATTTATTATTTATTCCTTTACTACCTCGGTGTATAAACACCTTGAGTGCATAAGGCACCCCAAAACCTTAACCTCGTCTTATAAGTCTAGAATTCTTCCTTTACTCATCCTGTTTGCATAATCATGAATGAGTAATAAATTAATCTTTACACCAATCACATACCTTTGCCTCTAAGCGCACCTTACATAATTAGATCACAAATAATACTTGCAATATAAAATAGTGCACATCATATGAAATTCACAATGTATAACCAAACAATTTAACCCAGTCAACCCTATACATGATACTAAGTTCTCGATCCGTCCTTAAATATGGACCTACAAGCAAGGTTTTGTAACTTGTACGTACCTTGTGTAAACAATCCTCTTGGCCACTTTAAAACTAGAAGTCGCCTTCTACAAAGTCCTCTCCTAAACCAAATAATGAGAAATAAATCAATACCCAAGCAAATAAATTTACAGCAATACTAAACTACTTTAAAACCTCTTAAATCATTAAAATAAAGCCTTTAAATTGTCCCCAATAGTCAAAGTTAATAATATAACATCCCAACTATAAAATTATATGTTAAAATTATGAAAATATAGTGTATAACAAGTAATTCCAGCAGCTTTAAAGTAAGTAAATAAATCTAAAAATTTAGTTTAAGTATTTAAAATGACCCCATAAGCATCATTACTTGAAATTATTGTTATATAGCAAGTTAGTGTGTTAAAAACCCAAAAATATGTCAATACAATGTAATTAGAGGCTTCAAAATAAAAAGTATGAAATCTGAAAATTTAAACTTGAGGTTGTAATTTAAAGTTCAAAGTTTTTTAATCATAAAATACCCACAATAATTATTTTATAGGCTTAGAAGCATAAAAACATGAAATTAACATATCTTGCTCATAAAAATCAAAACTTTAATAATCTGAAAATGTATATATAATCAAAATAATCATACTTTGATGTAATTTAAACATAGAATAATTAGATAACTTGATTAGTATGTTATCAAGCCGTAAAACATGAAAAATCATGGTTTAAACCCTAAATTATACAACATATATAATCTAAAATTTTATATAATAATTTTAACATGCTAAACTCATAAATTTATAATCTTTTATAATTTAAACATACTATCAAACCATAATAACAATAATTTAGAATTGAAATCAAATAAAAAATTGAAGCTTTAAATAAAAAATAACAAAATAAGAGAAGTGAGAAAAAGGGAGGAAGAGATGCGACTACTACATAAAGGGGGCTGCTGGTGGCCGGAGGTGCGGCAGATGGCGCGTCGGTGGGGGCAGCGGCGGTGCAGGGAGGCGTCGGGTAGCTTGAGGTTTTTTTTTTCTTTTTTTTGTTTCACGTAGAAGAGGAGAAAGAGAGGTGAGGGTTTTTGTTTTTTTTTTTTTCTGTTTCACGTGAAAGAGAGAAAGAGAGGTGAGGGTTTTTGTATTTTATTTAGGTTTATTCTCCTAGTTTTATTAGGAGTGGGTTTTGGGTAATTTAGGTTTGGGTAGGAATTAAGTAATTGGGCCACCAAGTTAAGGGAAGGGCTATAATTTTAATAAAAACTTAGTAGTTTTAATTTACTAATAAAGAGAATTGTATTAATTTTACATTAAATAATCCATACTTATAAAACTGAAATTAAAATATTGTATAAATAATAAATAATTATATTAGAAAAATATGGGGGATTACATATAACCATAAAGCATAATTAACTTAAACACAGGACTAAGTAAGAGATTAATACTTTTGTAGCATGCTTCGGTCACTTAATTGAGCTCTTACTTTGAAAGCTCTTAGCCCTGCTCACATGAGGACCTCCAACGAAGTCCACCTGCAACGCGAGCACCAAAATTGGTCTATTGCTTAGGAGTTAGCTAAGCCTGACCTAAACCCAAGTAATTAATTGTGTTCAAAGGTTTTCACAATGGTGATGCCTTTTTCAACACTTACTCAAGTGAACAATCCAAGACATGTCTTGGATATTTATAAGGAAAGCTTCCTTGTGAATTCCACTCATCTTTCAACATGGAAAGATTGTTGAATTCTATTCTTAGTTAAATAAATCAAGGAATAACTAAGTAAAAAGTGTCAAATGGTTAGGTGTGGACCACTTCCACACTTGCTCCCCAAGGCAACTCACATGCATTGTGAGCTAACCATGTGTCACCCAACCTTGAGCCCAAATTGGGTTTGGTTAGGCCACTACTTTTTGGCCCATGTTTATGACCTCACCCAACCTTGAGCCCAAATTGGGTTTGGTTGGGCCACTAATTTTTGGCCCGTGTTCATGACCCTTCACCCGCGTGTTGCCATGTGCGCTGCCACGTGACACGCTTCTATTTGGCGCGTTTCCCTAGCCTTTCGCTTGGCTAGGGTTTTAATTGTTACTTGAAGCATTTTCTAGTCTCGCCATTTACTAAATTTTGGCTTGACTTTCGACGCTCGAATTCAACGCTCTAAGCTCGAATTTTCGATGTTTAAATATTAATTACTCGGGTGACTCATTAATTCCTTCTGAATTAATTCATCACATCGGTTCGTTAAGTGCTTGGATGTGACCCAAAGGGTTCAGTCAAGATTAAGCCGTAATATTAATTATACATTAATATTACTGATCGGAA